AGTTTTTAAATTTTCATTCAGTGACTAGAACAATTGACTCGCTTTCATATATTTGTCTTCTTTGTCAGTCCTTTCCGAGAGGCACGCAGTCATCTTGATTTCACCTCAGATTCACACTCACTCCTCGTTCTACAAACCCCAGATTTTCATACATTCAGTGTGTGTATACACACACACAAACTCCAGTAAGTAAAATGGGTGCATACAGAGCGGACGACGACTACGATTACTTGTTCAAGGTGGTGCTCATCGGCGATTCCGGTGTCGGAAAATCGAATTTACTGTCCAGATTCACCCGCAATGAATTCAGTTTAGAGTCTAAGTCGACTATCGGTGTTGAATTTGCCACTCGTAGTATCCGCGTTGAAGATAAAGTTGTCAAGGCCCAGATTTGGGACACCGCCGGACAAGAACGGTACACACCTAATTTTTTCTATACTTTTTATGCACATATTTGGTGAGTGAATCGATATCTGGGTTTATTGAAATTTACAATGATGTGCAATTTTTAATTCAGAAATTTGAGATCTGGGATGGTGATTGAATGTAGATATAAAGTTTAGGTTACTTGATGTGAATTCATTTCTAGTGGATGAATGTGGTTTCCCCCTTTTGGTCTATGTATGGAGTGAGATTTTGATGATGCAAAATGAAACCTTTCTTGTTGCATTGTTTTAATTTAAATCTGATAAATTAGTCATAGTGATTTCCTCTCATGTTTTTAGATTTCTACACATCATCTTTGCAATTTCTCCCGTCTCCTGAATATTATGTTAATACCTGTTTCCATTCAGAACCACAACGTTTCATCATTATTGTGTTTACGAATTATGAGGTCAAGTCGTGCTTTAGAAACTGTCTCAGTCCAACTTTCATGGTACTTTTCCTCCTTGTTCAATATGAAACTTTGTAATTATCCTATTGTGGGAATATTTGTCTCAATGTATGCTTTTTGCTGAAGATATCGTGCAATCACAAGTGCCTACTATCGAGGAGCAGTTGGTGCTTTGCTAGTCTATGATGTTACACGTCATGTGACATTTGAAAATGTCGAGAGGTGGTTGAAGGAGCTCAGGGATCACACAGATTCAAACATTGTTGTCATGCTTGTTGGAAATAAAGCAGATTTACGTCACTTACGGGCTGTTTCCACAGAAGACGCGACAGCATTTGCTGAAAGAGAGAACACATATTTTATGGAAACCTCGGCCCTGGAATCTATGAACGTAGAAAATTCATTCACAGAAGTGCTCACTCAGATATACCGTTTTGTCAGCAGAAAAGCTCTTGAAGTTGGTGATGATCCAGCAGCTTTACCTAAGGGGCAGACCATTAATGTAGGCTCAAAAGATGATGTTTCAGCAGTAAAGAAGGTTGGTTGTTGCTCTGTTTAGAAGAGTGTCAAGATCGAAAGCATCTCAATTTTTTCAGTCTTAACAGTCACCAGGTTGTGGATTTTCATCCTGTATACATTGACCACATGGATTGGTTAGCCATCAAAGTTTTAGTTAATTGACATACAAAAATATGTCCAAATCAGGACACAACTCCTTGGTCATATCACTCATTATTTTTATAGTCATTGTCATGGTCTCTTGTTTCTTTGTGGTGTCTATTGTTAGTCTTAGCCAGTTATGAAAATCTCGCGTGAGATTACATCGCTTCTGGTTTGAGTATGGACGTGCAACAGTTATGACTTCTATCTATGTATTCTGATTGATTTTCGGATTTTTCACTTTGAACATTAAAATTTCTTTGGATTCATACGTTGTATTGCCCTGAAAGATCTTTAGATTTTGAGGAAAAAAACTTCAGTTCCAATCGTCTTGAGCCTAATTAGATCGTTCCATGTTGAGCCTTTACTCGGGCAAATCAACCGTGCATTCAAGAGCTAGTTGCTTGATTGATTAAGAGGATTCTCTTTAATATAATAAAGAACTCCTTTAACTTTAATATTCTCTCCATATTGGTTGAGTATATAACATCTACAATTTGCATTATTTCATTCCCTAATACAAGCACCCATCTCATCAAGGTTAACTCATCTAGAAATACTAATCATGTTTCTAGTGGTGGCGAAGGTAAATAAGCGTAAAATGGCCTGCGCAAGTTTAGAAAATGCGTCTATGCCGAGGTTAGAGCTTTAGTGTCTTAGAGATGTTTAATAAGTGATGGATCATAAGGAATAATTCTATTTATCATCGATGGCGATCACCAAGTGTAGTATTTGATGATGATCACTAGTAATGACTAGTAGCATTACTCGAGCAAGGAGCATTGTTTGGATTTGAGCAAATTAGTGACATATAGTTTTTAAGATTGGTTTTACTTTATTTAATTAATATAAAAATTCATACGGTTGGGGATCTACGTTTCGAAGTATAAAATCTAAATTGAGGACGTTAATCAAGGGGTACTTTGGTCAAATAGTGTAATTTAACCAAAATACCAAAGTCTTGAAAACTTGAGACTGCTTGACTTGGATCAACTGCATTTCTTTTTTCCCACCTTGATTCAGTATGGTCAAGTTTGTTTCCTCGTGCACATGCAGAAATGATCAACTCGACGCCAATAATGAAAATTAAGGAACAGAAGCTGAATTTAAAGAACATTGATAGCGATTTAAAGAAGTTTCAAGCATGCACCGATGAAGCTGTAAACCAGGATGCAGTTTCATCAGTGAATCCGAAAGACCTATTGCCTCTGTCTTACTGATGCTAAAAATAATAATAATAATAATAATAAATCACTTGAGATCTTCTTAAGCTTTATTACATGTTCCATATTGAACCTTTTCTCAGTCAAATCAGCTGTACATTCGAGAGCTAGTCGCATGATTGATTTGAAGTAGCTCTCTTTAGCTTTAATATTTTCTTCGTTTTGGTTGAGTATATCCACATCTACAATCTGCATCATTTTACCAGGGAATAATTTGAATATCCATCTCCTCATGGTTAATTTCCTATTAATATATCATCTGTGGGCTTCCTTTTTGTAAATGTTTACATCAACACAATCCCATAGCTATAAAATAGTCGATATTTATCCAAAATGATCCATACTTTACAAAATATGGATATCTGATCAAATTAACAGGCAAAATCTGAAAATGGGAAGTAACTAAGAAACTGGTGAAGAAAACACTGAGAGCAAAGCACAACAAGGCTTTTGCCTTATCTGATACAAGGAAGTACTTAAATGAATGCCTTACTGAAGTTCTTTTAAATTTACCCCATCAATTTAAATGAATACACTGGTGAATGACACACATGCACAACTATGACGTGTATTAAACTTAGCTCTAGTCGACAAAAGAATTTACCAGGTGTCATATACCTAATGGCGCCGAAAGTCTTGATCTGTGAAATTCTCTGGTCTTCCATGAAGAGCTTGGTGATGCCATAATATCCGACAAGGGCCAGCATAGTTTTATCTAGAAGTACATTTCTCGGCTTCAGATCATAGTGGACAATTGGGACGGGATATCCATGACGCCGTAGATATATCAATGCGGACGCACATCTATCATTATTTCTAATCTTTAAAATATATTTAGGTAGTAATTGCACGAGTTCAACAAATTGTTAAGGTTTCCATTAGGCAAGTGATGTCAACGAGCCAAGTCTAGTTGACTCGCAAGCCGAAACTCGAGGCTCGGGCTTGGCTCGAGTAAAAATGGTTTGAGATTTTTTTGGCCCGAGCCTAGACCAAACAGAGGCGGCTAAGTAGCTGCCTGCTACACGTATTTTTTTAGAGGCCTGGACGGCCTAAAATGGCTAGTGACATGAGCTGATAAGCCATGCGATCTGGCCAGAGCTCTGGCCGACACCCCAAAATGGGGCTTGGACTCAGCCGGCGAGCTAAATTAATATCCCTACATTAGGCATATATTCTAAGCGTCATTTTTTTTAAATCTTGGTTAGATCAATGACTATTTACCTTGACAAGATTTATGTGATAAATGTTTGCACATAATTTGGCACTCAGCATCAAGGCTATCAAGTGCACCTTTCACATCTAAATTAGAAACCTTAACAGCAGCAACTATCCATATTGAAGAATATATCCTTGTTTACCAAACCAATACTACCTCTGCCAATCAGATTATCTTTATCGAAAATTATTGATAGAATTAAGAACTTCATAAAATTAAATCCTCCTGTAGTGAAGGCAATATGGGAACTCGATTGATCTGGATGAGGTTTGTTTGTATATGTCTCACAAACCATAGTAATTACTACACTTGCTACCAAGGCACAGGATGGTAAAATATATTTCAGGCAGTTAGTCTTGATAGATGATTTTGACGCCTTTGCATGGCATGACCAATTGAGATGCTCCACATAATTCTTCATTGCCTATGAAAAAATATTCAGTTAAGTTCTTAAAAAATTTCATTGGTTGAAAAGATGAAATACACGAAACATTCAAGGTTCTCCAATGACTTTTGGGGATCATACCAGAAAGATTGTTATGAAATAGATCCAATTATTTCAATTCCTTCATATTAGCAAATGAGTCAGCTATTAGACCATAAAACCTGTTGTCTTTGATAATGTTATAATTATCAAACTCTGCAAATGCCCAATAGTGCTTGAAATATCACCTAAAAACTGATTTCTTGGTCGATATAATGCTCTGAAGCTCTTCATGCTGCCAATTTCTGGAGCTAGAGAACCAATGAGAAAACTATAAGACAATCAAAATTTGAAGTTCTTTATTGTACCACAAGGTCATCGGCATAAATAAATTCATCGTAGTGAAGTAAGGTTTCCTCAACACCCTGGTAACTGTTGAAATCATAAAAATAAAATAAAATTGATGTTTCACCATATGCACATGGCTTAGGCTATTGAAAAGACATTTTCATTGATCTTTCACCAAATCCACATTTTCTACATATCAGTAACAAAATAAAAATCAGACAATACAGGCACTATAAATCAATAAAACAGTACACGCGAAATAACGACTTTAAAGCACCAAAATATATGAAAGTTAAGCTGTAAAACCAACATTATTAAAGATATGATATTCTTAAACATGCTTCCGGTTTCCTGAAGCGCCATGCTATTAAAAAACCCATTGGCTTGGGACCATTGCTAGCTGTGGTCACAGGTTGTCAGGCCTAGGGTCCCTGTTGAACCAATGCATCCCGACTTATACGCATAGTTATGCCTGGAGGAAATTCGATTTTGATCTTCTGGAGCCTTATTAAAATATCTTTCATTTTGAGCCTCTCCTCGGGCAAATCACTTGTGCATTCTAGAGCCAACCCCATGATTGATGTGATGCATCTCTCTATAGATCGAATATTCTCTTCAACTTCGTCCACTACATCAATGTCTACAATTTGCATTATTGCATCTGGGAATGATTCAACCACCCATCTCCTCATAGTCAACTCTCCTTCAAATATAGGATCAGTGGGCTTCTTTTTGGTAAACGTTTTCATCAACATAATCCCATAACTGTAAACATCTGCCATTGTTGATATGAGTCCTGTTGATCCATACTCTACAAGTTGACACATGTAATCAAATTAACATGTTAAATTTTAAATGATAAAAAAATAAATGATAAAATTAAGTAAACAAGAAAGCGCTGAAAGAAGAACTATGGCTTTGCCTGAGAATTACTTAAAAATGCTAAACCTGTAAGTTGCAAAAATTTACACCTTCAGTTTCCTTTGTCGTCTTTTTAATTATTTGACTCACTTACTGACCTAATAAAAAAATAATTGAATAAAAAACAATAAGAAGATTAAAAGAATATAATCATACTAATCTTTCTTTCTTGCTTTATTTTTTTGTAAGTAGATTGACATATTGAGAGCCCTCATCTGTGATATTTTTGATAGATCGAAACAATATTTTTGCACTAAATATACCACTAGCTTGACACTTAGTGAAATTATAAGCATAACATCTTATCTTATATATAAGTTGAAGAATATGTTGAATCACACGAATTTCTGTGTGAATTGAATTTTATTCATCATTGAATCCTGTATTTATATACAAACGAGTGGAAGGAAATAAAGAAAATAATCTCATAAACAAGGAAAGCTAATAATTCTACCTAACTATGGAAATAATTAAATATGGTAGAGTAATTATTCTAAAATAATGCATAAACTCTAGCAATTACTGGGTTTTCCACATAAGTATGTTACAAAACATTTTACCTGGTGCCATATAACCAATGGTGCCCAAAGTCTTGGTTTGTGAAATTCTTTGGTCTTCTTTAAAGAGCTTTGAAATTCCGAAGTCCACCACACGGGCAACCATATCTTCATCTAGAAGTATGTTGTTGGGCTTTAAGTCACAATGGACAATTGGGGATGTATACTCATGATGCAGATACTTCAATGCACTTGCCACATCTATCATTATTTCCAATCTTTGCACTATATTTTGGCAGTAGTCGGAAGAGTATAACCAACTGCTAAGATTTCCTTTAGGCATATATTCCAACACCAAGGCTTTGAGATCAAGGTTAGAACAGCATGTAATTACCTTGACGAGATTTCTGTGTCTAATGTTGCACAATATACTGCACTCAGTATCAAAGCTCTTGAGCGCACCTTCCACATCTAAATTGAAAACCTTAATAGCTGCAATTGTCCCATCAGAAAATAAACCCTTGTATACTGAACCAATACTGCCTCTGCCAATTAGATTCTCTTCATCGAAGTTATTAGTAGCACTAAGAATTTCATAATATGAAATCCTCTTGATGGTGAGGGCAATAGGGAAACTGGACTGAGTCGGAAGAGGTTTATTTCTATTACATCTCACAAACCAAACAACAAATATTACTATACATGCTACTAATGCACATGATGGTAAAATATATTTCAGATACCTTGTCTTGCTTGATGATTTTGATGTGATACTTTTACATGCCACGACCATGAATCGAGATGCTCCACATAATTCCCCATTGCCTATGAAAGAATCTCTTGTCAAGTTTTTAAAAGGTCCTCCATTCGGAATTTCACCCCCAAGTTTATTGAATGAGACATTAAAATATTTAAGATACTCAAGTGACTCCAATGACTTGGGGATCAGACCAGAAAGATTGTTATGAGATAGATCCAAGTACTCCAATTCTTTCAAATCACCAAATGACTCGGGTATAGGACCATGCAAATTATTGTTTGATAATGTTAGATTTTGCAAACTCTGAAGTTCCCCAATGTTGGTAGGAATATCTCCCGAAAACTGATTTTCTGACAGATGTAATTCTCTCAAGCTCTTCAGGCTTCCAATTTCTTGAGAAAGAGAACCAATGAGCAAATTATGAGACAACTCCAAAATTTGAATTTCTTTGTTGCTCCACAAAGTTGATGGTATAGTAGAAGTCAATCCATTGTAATCTAAATAGATATTTTGTAAGGAACTAATGTTTCCCAAACACCACGGCAGCTGTCCAGAGAGCTGATTGTTTGTAAATTGTAGGTAATATAGATTTACCATATTGCAAAGGTTGACAGGTATTGACCCCCAGAGTTTATTCTTTCTAATTATGAGCTTTTGCATCTTCCTCATTTGACCCATCGTGTCAGGAATTGTTCCTATCAAATCATTTCCTCCCATTGCGAAGTAAATTATGTTGCTCAGATTACCAATTTCACTCGGAATCATGCCTTTAATGCCACAGAAGCCAGCAGTGATTGTTTCAACAGACTGTGAGAAATTACCCAAGACTTTAGGAAGCATTCCGTTAAAAGAATTAAATCCAAAACGTAGGATCTTCAACTGTCTACAATTTGTCAATGGGCTAAGAAAATCTAATTCCACCATTGAAGGATCATTTGTCAACTGATTATACTGCAAACTTAGTGTTTGGAGGTCTCGTAAGTTTCCAAGAGTCATGGGTACTTGTCCACTGAACGAGTTCTGAGTAAGGTCCAATGTAGAAAGTTTAGAAAAATTTGAAATACCGCTAGGTATTTCTCCACTTAACAGGTTACCAGCAAGATAGAGACTTTCGAGAACAGGAAGTCCATTGTTCAGTGATGATGGAAGATTGCCTGAGATTTCATTCTGTGTTAACGACAATAGTATTAAATTGGAGAGATTGAAGATGGATTCAGGTATTTCACCCACAAGATGGTTCACCGGAAAATCTATCGTTTTTAAAAGTGATAGATGTCCCAATTCTTGCGGAATCTGTCCTTGAATATTGTTCGTGTCCATATTAAATATCTCCAAATTTGATACATTGCCAATTGAATATGGAATAGTACCTGTACGAGATATTTGTTGAAACTTTCAACTGAGAATAAATTTCCATTGACAGTAACAGAACAAAACTACTGAGGTAGAATAATACCTGTCAAGTTATTGCTGCCCAATTCCAACCATTGAAGTGACAATAAGTTTCCAATTCCATTTGGAATACTTCCTGTGAATCCATTATAGCAGATATCAACTTCGATTCTCTTAAGTGCCGGTAGAATTTCAAATCAAAGAAATTTCATTGTAATGACAATGATAGGTTTAAAAATCATATGCTCTTAAATTAGAAGTCCTGCAAGAAGACTCATGTGGGGACAGTGTCATAGAAACCACAAAGAAGAGGCTCTCATGTGTGCAAACAATAAAAATGCTATTATTTTAAAGATAATGCTATTTGTAAATACTACTAATGGACTTTATTCTTTGTGACTGTGGGATTACTATTATTAAGATTAGTAGGCGTTAGTTTAGTTAGTTAAAAATTAGTTACAGTTAGTTAAATGACAGCTGGTTCAGTTTGTTTAGTTTTCATTTTTCCCGCCTTCTTTCATTGCTATTTATAGCACTTGTACAGTTCATTCAGTGGTTGAATAATATACTTCATTTTCCTAAATCCTCAAAATGGTATCAGAGCTAATACGCTCTCAGCTCCGCCATTAGATTCCGGCAGCAAGTCATTGGATTCCGGCAGATCAACCGACTCATTATGGCAGACACCTCAGATCAGAATCCATCAAACCAAAATTCGTCCTCATCAATGAGTCATTCCGCCATTGATGATGGCTCTAGTCCGTATTATCTTCACCACTCAGACAGTCCAAGTCTCATTCTCGTTTCACGGCCTCTAACAAGTGAGAATTACAAGCTCATTCTCGTTAAAATTTATTGAATGAGAAAAACTTGAATTACAAGCTCCATGAAAGGAGAAATTAACACTCCATGATAGGAGGAGAAACACTCCACAAAGGGAGGAAATAAAACTCCATTAGAGGAGGAAAATCAACTCCATAGAAGGAGGAAATGAAACCTCCATGGAAGGAGGGATTGGAGAGAAACTACTACAATCCCATCAATTAAAATGCGTACAAAGTCTGGTATTTATAGAGAAGATGACCGGACTAACTAACAACTAATCTCTCAACTATCTAAACTAGTTTAACTACATTGCAGCTGTAGAGAATCTTGTTAGCTGGAGACAGCATGGAATGATCCTTGTGAGATGAATCTGGTCCATTCAATCTGGAGTGGAATCTCTGGGATCAAGAATCTGGTGCAATTCTAATACACCCCCCCTCAAGATGGACTAGGAGATCCAGCTTGAGATTTCCAGCAGCGTTGAATGTCATTGCGTTTATGCTGTCAAATTTGTAACCATGTCGTAAAGACTCCACAAGAATTGTCTTTGTTGATGTAGCAAGGCAACCAAACAAAGCAGTACAAAAGCTGAACATATTACAACTG